TTGCTCACTGCTTCCAGAGTTCCTTGGAGGGGAGTCATCAAGAACTTAGGACAGGAAGAGAGTAGAAAACCAGTATAGTGTGTGTGCTAGACAGGCTAAGCAGATCTATTTCTAAGCCATTGCAGAGTCAGGATGGAGAAGGAACAAGTCTGTTAGGACCACCTGAGCAAGGTTTAAAAGCAAGGCTTGCAGCCAGGACCGGCTCTAGGCACCAGCAAAGCAAGCATGTGCTTGGGGCGGCACATTTCCAGGGGTGGCATTCTGGCCATCCTTTTTTTCCCCCTGGCCCCGCTCAGTCCAATGAGCCCCTGCGTGGGGCGGGGCGGCGGGCTCAGCGCAGGGGTCTCTGCCCTGGCCCCCTGCTGCCGGGGGAGTGGGGTGATGTGGTTCCTCCCCCCTTGCCCGCCCCTGCTGCACGTGTCACAAGCAGCGGAGGAGCTGGAGCCGAGCAGAGAGGAGCCAGGGATCGGGGCACGACCCAGGGCCAGTAAGGGAGCTGCTCCCCTGGGCAGCTTGGCGCTGGGCGGGCACCCCTGGTCCGCCCCCCCCCCGTGGCTGACCTGCCCCCCAGCCGCTCTGTCAGTTACTGTCCCCTCTGCGGGGGTGGGGCCGGGTCTGAGATCGGGCTGGGGGCCCACGGGCGGGATGTACAGCTCTGAGCACCTCACTCCAAACACTGCTATGGCATTACTCATTCTTTTAACATTACCAGTATCAGTGGCTTCTGGTGAGCAGTTTCTCAAAACTGAAATTACTAAAAAATTATTTGAGGTCCACCATGTCTCAAAATTGTTTGTCAGGACTTGCATTAATTTCAGTTGAAAGTAGCATTGCAAAAAATTTAGATTTCACTGAATTATCAAAAGACTACGCAAGTATAAAAACCAAAAAAAATTCAGTTCATATAAATTCTTTTAATTTACGAGACACGGGGGCGCACCGGAAGACACTTTTCATTACGGTGTATAGTTGAACCCAAATTGTTTGTAATTGTGATTTTGTTAAAATTAAATGAATATACTAGTAGGAAATTGTTTTATTTCACTAACTACAAATTCTCTGTTTTCATTTTTAAAAAATTTTAAACAGTCAAAAAACCCCCCAAAACAAAACAAAAAACATTGCAAAGTACAAACATATGTAAAAGCCCCCCCAAAAAGGGGGGCGGCCAAAAATTTTTTTGCTTGGGGCGGCCAAAAATTTTTTTGCTTGGGGCAGCAAAAAACCTAGAGCCAGCCCTGCCTGCAGCTTCCTGTAGTTGGTTCTGAAATGACTGGGAAGCTAGTGGAGGTATTTGGGCATGGTTCTGGTGGAAGGGCTATATTTGTAAAGATTGAGTTTACTTCCTCAGGAGCTCAGCGGGGCTGTTTGGAGAGATCACATAATAAAACCATTATCGTCTAGGCAGCTCCAGTGTAATAAAGGAAACAGGGGAAGGGAAGGAATTCCCTGAGGAGCCCTGTGGGTGATGCATACCAAGAGTGCAGAGATCTGAGAATGTTTTGGAGAAAACGGGTAAGATGAGAGAAGATCATTATCTAAAGTCCGGGGAGTTGGAGGTTAAAACCACAGAGCTTCTTAACCCACCCTGCCCTAGAGAGGATCAGCACAGTCAGAGAGGGAGGAGTACTTAATAAAGATGGGACTTTCCTGTTCCCAGCCAAATATCCCTCCCAGCGCCATGTGTCCGAAGCGACAGGATCTGCATTTCCAGTGTAAACAACACCCCTCCACTGACATGCAAAGAGCATGAATCCCCCGGGAGCAGCTGGGAGCAGTAAGTCGGGGCCGGGGCGTCTGTACTGGGGCAGGATCACAGCAGAGAAATAGCTTCTGGGGAGGGGGCAAGAAAACAGCGCAGAAACCAGGAATTGCTGCCCGTGGGAGCACAAGGGAGTTGAAGCATGAACTGTGTGGCTGGAAAGAGATCAGATAGCAAGCATCAGGGGACAAAACCAGCGTCTGGGGGTCAGTGCAACTGCAGCCCAGCAGGATCCCCGCTGCACCAGCCCTTTTAGGGGTAGCACATAAAAGGATCCGCCTAGTTTAGTTTAAAAGGGAGCATGGAATAAAGTCACTCAAGAGCCAACGGGGAGTTCATTGGGATTTCCCTCAGGGAATATTTTATTATTGCTACTTTGTGCCAAGAGCATAGCCAATATTTGGGGCTTTGAAGGGTTGTTTCTGTTAGGAGGAGAAATAGATTATATGAATCAGCTATAGTCTCTGGTACACTCCTGTTTAGTTACAAAGAATGTACACAAAGTCCTGTTTCCCTGCACGTAGTAGGAACAAACAATAGCAGCCAATGTCCTTGCTCAGTTTTCAAGCCTGCTTTTCCAGCGAGTCCTGTGCCCCAAAGAGCTCTGTTTCTCTGCTCCTTCTCAGAGCCACTCTCACAATGGGTATTGGCTTTGGCACACACACAGCTTGTCAAAAGCAGTCCTCTAAGAACATAAGAATGGCCCTATTGGGTCAGACCAAGGGTCCATCTAGCCTAGTATCTTGTCTTCTGACAGTGGCCAGTACCAGGTGCCCTGCAGGGAATGAACAGAACAGGTAATCCTCAAGTGATCCATCCCCTGTCACCCATTCCCAGCTTCTGGCAAACAGAGGCTAGGGACACCATTCCTACCTACCCTGGCTAATAGCCATTGATGGATCTATCCTCCATGAATTTATTTAGTTCTTTTTGAACCCTGTTATGGTCTTGGCCTTCACAACATCCTCTGGCAAGGAGTTCCACAGGTTGACTGTGCATTGTGTGATTAAATACTTCCTTTTATTTATTTCAAACCTGCTGCCTATTAATTTCATTTGGTGACCCCTAGTTCTTGTGTTATGAGAAGTTGTAAACAACACTTCCTTATCTACTTTCTCTACACCAATCATGATTTTATAGACCTCAATCATATCTCCCCTTAGCCGTCTCTTTTCCAAGCTGAAAAGTCCCAGTCTGATTAATCTCTCCTCATATGGAAGCTGTTCTATATCCCTAATCATTTTTGTTGCCCTTTTCTGAACCTTTACCAGCTCCAATATATCTTTTTTTAGATGGGGCTTCCACATCTGCACACACTATTCAAGATGTGGGCGTACCATGGATTTATATAGAGGCAACATGATATGGAGGCACTGGGTCGCAGTGGCTCTGACCAGCATCACCAACCTGTCTGTTAAAGTCCTGGGGTGCTGCTGAGCTAAGGCAGGATAGTTCCTACCTGTTCTGACACCGTGCTGCACCCCAGAAGTGGCCAACAGCAGGTCCGGCTCCTAGGCGGGGGGGAAGGAGGTGGGGCATGGGGCTGTGTGTGCTGCCCCTACCCCGAGCACTGGCTCTGCACTCCCATTGGCCATGAACCAGCCAATGGGAGCTGAGGGGGTCGGTGCCTGCGGGCGAGAGCCACACGGAGCTGCTTGCGTACCTCCGCCTAGGAGCTGGACTTGCTGCTGGCTGCTTCTAGGGCGCAGAGCAGTCCGCAGTGCCAGGACAGGCAGGAAACCTGCCTTAGCACCCCTGCTGTGCCACTGACCGGGAGCTGCCTGAGGTAAGCCTGCACCCCAACCCATGCCCCAATCCCCTGCCCCAGCCCTGAGCCCCCCCAAACACAGAGCCCCCTCCTGAACCCCAAACCCCTCATCCCTGGCCCCACCTCAGAGCCTGCACCCAGAGCCCTGACCCCCTCCCACACCCCAACCCCCTGCCCCAGCCCAGAGCTCCCTCCCACACCCTGAACCGCTCATTCCCAGACCCACCCCGCAGCCCTCACCCCCACACCCCAACCCTCTGCCCCAGCCCTGAGCCCCTCCCACACCCCAAACCCCTCATCCCCAGCTCCGTTGGGTCATGGGTATTAACAATTTTCTTCAGCTGGGTTGCCAGAAAAAAAGTTTGAAAACCACCGCTCTAGATCCTGCATTTGCAATCAGTCCAAGGGAAATTCCTCCGACTACACAGTTTAACCCTGTTTAAGCTTTGCCCTGCAACAGATTGCCTTGAGAAATAGCTTCTATTGCCTCCAGTTATCTCACTCCACTTAATTGCTTCTTTCCTTTAGCCCTGAAGAAGGGTAATTACCCACCTATTGACTTTAATCAGGTCTGTGATTGATCCGTGGATCAAAGACAGCTGGATGGTAGCCATTAACACCTCCCAGTATAACAGTCTTTTAAATGACAGCTTTCAGAGTAACAGCCGTGTTAGTCAGTATTCGCAAAAAGAAAAGGAGTACTTGTGGCACCTTAGAGATTCACCAATTTATTTGAGCATGAGCTTTCGTGAGCTACAGCTCACTTCATCGGATACATCAGTTTCCACGGTATGCATCCGATGAAGTGAGCTGTAGCTCATGAAAGCTCATGCTCAAATAAATTGGTTAGTCTCTAAGGTGCCACAAGTACTCCTAGTCTTTTAAATCTAGCACTCCCCACTGGATCCCCCACACGTTCAATTCATTATCCAGGGAAGCATATTATTATATTTTTAAGGTCAGGCTTGACAAAGCCCTGGCTGGGATGATTTAGTTGGAGATTGGTCCTGCTTTGAGCAGGGGGTTGGACTAGATGACCTCCTGAGGTCCCTTCCAACCCTGATATTCTATGATTCTGTGATTTAGTGACTGTGACCAGTATGCTTCTCTTGTTCTCTTTGGGCCAGTTCCTGGGTCCATCTGCACAGTGGGCAATGGAGGAGTGTGTGAGCAAAAGTGGTTTAAAGTTCACCTTTGCACTCCCTGGATCCTGCTTCTGCCTCTACGCAGGGCCCTCTCCTCCAGCAAAGAAAAGGGCCTGGGTTTAAAATCCTCACATTTTATTTGTAACCTGTATTCAAGCATTTAGTAATTCAGTTGCCCACCTGTTTTATTTCCCTGGATGCAGGGTTGCCGGTCCCCCAGACTGCTGCAATCTCTTAGATGGAACAAGGGAAAGAGCCATGTGTCCCCGATCTGCATGCCTCCATAGACAGGGAGCTCCCAAGGGGTGCCTATCCAGGTGAGGAATAAGTCAAAGCAACCCAGGAACCGTCAGTGGGTGAAATAAAAATGCTGGCATTTCAGCGAAGCTGTTGTGAGTTTGCCCGTTTCTGTCTTGTCGCATCCTATAGACCAGGTCAGGAATCTTCCATCAACATGGTTTTTCAACAAAAAATGCAGTTTGCACAAAATCAACATTTTCCAAGGGAAATTTTGATTTTGCAAATATCAATTTTTTACCAGACAAATCAAAATAAGATACTTTGTTTTGTGCTGGGTCAATCCAAATATAAACATTTGAGTTTGTTTACCAGGGTGCTAGCTTTTTGCTACTTTTATGTCTAAATCTTAAGCTTCTTCGTGGCCAGTTGTAGGCAGGAATACTCATCTGTGATCTGTTCTGCTGATTAATATTGTTATTATTCATTTATAGTATGGCACAGCCCAAAGGCCTCAATCAGGATTAGAGCTGCAGTTGTGCTGGGGGATGAAGACGGTCCCTGTTGCAGGGAGTTTCCAGTCCAAAGGATCCTCATCTGTGACAAAGAGTCTGAATAATAATGTGCATTTATTTAGTCCATTCCATCCTAGAGCTGTGATGTTTGTCAGGGTGATTTTAGTGACAGGGCTTGTCTACACTTAAAAACATGACAATGGCACCACTATAGTTGTGCTGCTGTAGTGCTTCAGTGTAGACACTACCTGTGCCAGTATGAGAGGTTCTCCTGTGGGCATAGGTAGTGCATCTCTCCCTGAGAAACAGTGAATCAAACTGTTGTATTGTGGGCCACTTTAACATTAATCTATGTTCTCCTGAGCTGCTGCAGTGCTTTATGGAAGTTGTAGTTCAGGTGTCTCATGCCGCCATTCTCTTCTGTGGACCAGGCTCCCTGGCTGGACTGCATCTCCCTTGATGCACCACAGTCTCCCCTCTGGTAGAACCACTGGAGTGCGTCATGACTGCACGTCAATTTTCATGATGCATTGCAGTCATGAAACGTGTAGGCCAGCCAGGAATCCTGTCCCACAGAGGAGAATGGGTTCTGCTACATGGGGGTGAACTACAACGCATCTGAAGTACCACAGCAGCTCAAGCAGACACAGTTCAATGTGGAAGAGAGCTGAAAGGAAACATTTCCATTTGGTTCAACAAACCAAACCAAAACATGTTGATTCAGAACTGTCAAAATGTTTCAGTGAAAAATATAAAAAAGAAATGTTTAGACATTTTGGAACTGAAATTTTTTGGAACTTTTTGTTCTGCAAAAAATTTCAATATATCTGGTTTTTGTTCCAGTTTGGGACAAATATCAAACAAATATCAAAAGATCTTGATTTCCTGCGGGGTGGAATTTTTGTTTTTCTATCAGTCCTAATCTCAAGTATTGTAGCCAGCAGTTAAAGCAGAGGCTCTCAACCAGGGGCATGCATACCCCTGGGGGTACGCAGAGGTCTTCCAGGGTGTACATCAACTCATCTGGATATTAACAGGCTACATAAAAAGCACTAGCAAACTCAATACAAACTAACATTTCATACAGACAATGACGTGTTTATACTGCTCTATACACTATACACTGAAAAGTAAGTACAATATTTACATTCCAATTTATTTTATAATTATGTGGTAAAAATGAGAAAGTAAGCAATTTTTCAGTAATTGTGTGCTGTGACACTTTTGTATTTTTAGGTCTGATTTTGTAAGCAAGCAGTTTTTAAGTGAGGTGAAACATAGGGATACAGAAAACAAATCAGACTCCTGAAAGTCTGGAAAGGTTGAGAGCCACTGTGTTAGAGCAACTGGAAAGCAGATGCCAATTATGGTTTAACATCAGTCCTGACAGTCTGCTAGCATTCCCTCGCCTAACCAGTGTACTGTAGCAGAAACTTTCCTGTTTGCAAGTGTTGTATTGAGTTCTGAAGGTGATAAGGGCCATAGTCATTACTTTCTTCTATGGCAGTGAGTTCCATAGTGCGGGGCCAGCTTCTGGGAATGTTCTGAGGAAAGGTGTGACAGAGTGGGATATGTCTGTACCCAATTGTGAGCTCCATTTTGTGTTTCAACGTCCATCTTGGATTGTAACCTCCATTATGACCTTCACGTAATAGTAGAACCTCCAATTTGAATTAGAACATCCATTTTGTATTAGGGTTTGACACCTACTTCAATGACAGTGGCTTTGTCTACACTTAAAACTTATGCTAGCAAAGCTGTCAGTCAGCGGTGTGAAAATACCACACACCCTAGCTGACGTAGCTAGGCTGACAAAACTGCCAGTATAAACAAAGCTGTGTTATCAGAAGAGGGCTTCTGTCACTATAGCTAACATCGTTCAGGGAGATGGTGTTCCTACACTGGCAGAAAATCTCCTTCTGTCACCATATGCTGCATCTACACTAGGGGCTGGCATAGGCTGTGTAATGTAGACATAATCTATGGCTGAGAAGCCACCATAGAGCAATCATGGGCCATCGACTTTAGTTGTTTCTCAACTACTGGCCCACTGCGAGGGGATAGTGGACTCTCCACAGCAGCCTGACTCGGGGCAAGAGGCTGGAATTTCCCAGTTGGAGCACATGGGCAAAAAGAGTCAGAGGCTGTATTTAAGAGGGGAGGGCTTCTCTGAGCAAGCGGACCAACCACCACCACATGTCAGAAGCCTCTTGGCTAGAGAGTGAGGACAAGGCAGGAGGGTCTGCCTAGCCTGAAACACTGACCAGACCCTGGACTTATGGGGTGAGATCAGAGTAAGAGAGTGAGGTGGAAGCATTGCAGGACTTTTTGTTATTTTGCAAAGATCTATAACTCTCCAGTGCTCTCTTAAGAGTAAAAGTGGCTGTGGTTAAGAAGTGCCTTGACTAAACCTGTAAGAGGGTTAACGGAGCAGCTCAGTGCCCACACCCAGATAAGGCTCTGAGGGCACATGTCAGGCTTGGGCGACACCTAAAAATTTGGTTGACAAAGCAACATCACTCAGGGCTGTGAAACATGTTGTGCCCTGTGCAACATAGCTAGGTCAACTTAACCCCACTGTAGAAGCAGCTAGACAGAAGACTTATTCGTCACCCTAGCCACTGCCTTTTGGAGAGGTGGATTACCTACACTGACAGGAAAAGTCTTACAGTCAATGTAGGAAGCAACTACACTATGGCAGTACAGTGGCAAAGCTGCAGTGCTATAGCTCTCCCATTCCAGTGCAGACACACTCGAAGCAGCTAAGGGCTTGGCCTGGTTTGGGGTTTAAGACAGCTGCCTGTAGAGCCCCATATCCCTTGGAAGGATGGCAGACACGGCAGCTGGGACTGGTAATTAGTCACTACCCAGACCCGGGGGTTTAGAAGCATGTGGGATCCAGTGGTTGGGTCCGTTCATAACAGACTGGTGTCAGTCCAGAGAGAGGGATTGGTCCAGGTTGTGATAAAAAGCTCAAGTGATTTTTTTTCTCCTGTTTTATGATCTTATCAAAGGGTCTAATTCAGCACCCATTGATGTGATTGGAAAGACTGCTTTTGATTTTGATGGGCTTAGGATCAGGCTGTAAAGTTTTCAGATTTGTGACAAACTCTTTGCGATTCCCTTGGCTGAGGCACCCTTTCCCTCAGACACAGGGATGAATCATGTCTCGATTCTCTCTTTATTCCAGCAGGTGATGGGATCATGAGTGAAAACGAGGAGGAGAATCCACAGCAGGATGGTCTTCAAATAGAGGAACCAAGTGTAGCATTGTCAGAAAAATCCAAAGGGAAAGATTCCCAGAGCCCTGACTGGGAAGATGACTATGAGGATGAGTGGGGGACAGAAAATCAGGAGAGAAACCTTCCAGGAAAGAAATGGGGTGAATCTCCTCCCCGAGAGAGAGGTTTCAGGAAATTCAAAGACATCATTGCCCAGCAGAGGCCTCACACTGGAGAGAAACCTCATAAATGTCCCGACTGTGGGAAGAGCTTTAGTCGGAGATCAAACCTCATTCAGCACCAGAGGACCCACACAGGCCAGAGACCTTACAAGTGCCCCGAATGTGGGAAAACCTTCAGCCTGCGCTCGACACTTACAAGACATCAGCAAACTCACCTGCAGGAGAAGCCCTATAAATGCACTGAGTGCGGGAAGAGCTTCCGCCAGAGCTCAGACCTGATCACCCACCAGCGAGTGCACACAGGAGAGACACCTTACCGGTGTGCTGTGTGCGGGAAGAGCTTTGGGCGGAGCTCCAACCTGAGCCAACACCAGACCACGCACATGGGGGACAGACCCTATCAATGTGTTGACTGCCTGAAGAGCTTCCGGAGCAGTTCCGCCCTGGTGCAGCACCAGAGGAGCCACACGGGGGAGAAACCCTATCAGTGCTCTGAATGCAGGAGCCGCTTCCTGCAGAGCTCGGACCTGATCAAACACCAGAGGATCCACACCGGGGAGAGGCCCTACCAGTGCCCCACCTGTGGGAAATGCTTCAGCCAGAGCTCCTCACTCACTGAGCACCAGAGGACACACACCGGGGAGCGACCTTACCATTGCACCGAGTGCGGGAAACGTTTTTGCCAGAGCTCCACACTCATCCAGCACCAGAGGATCCACACGGGGGAGAAGCCCTACAGATGCACTGAGTGCGGGAAAAGCTTCTGCCGGAGCTCCAACCTGAATCAGCATCTGACAATCCACATGATAAAGAAACCTCATCGGTGCACTGACTGTGGGAAGGGCTTCAGTCAGCTCACTAACCTTACTATACACCAGAGAATCCACTCTGGACAGACACCCTAGGACGGTGGTTCTCAAACTTTTGTATTGGTGACCCCTTTCAGCAAGTGTCTAAGTGCGACCCCCCCCCCTTATAAATTAAAAACATGTTTTAAATATTTAATGCTATTATAAATGCTGGAGGTGAAGCGGGGTTTGGGGGTGGAGGCTGACAGCTCACGACCCCCCATGTAATAATCTTGCCACCCCCTGAGTGGTCATGACCCCCAGTTTGAGAATTCCTGCCCTAGGAGCTATGGGGACAGCTTCACGGACCTACCAGCACCAGAAAATACACTCCACACAGAAAGCATTGCTGGCTGTCTCCCTCCTGGATAGTGGCCTACTCCAGGAGGTTCAATTCAGGGAGGGATTAGGGATATCTTCCTCCACCTTTAAGAGCTTTATCAGCTGGATAATCTTGCAGAGAAGGATCTGATCTGTTCTGTTGCTTTTGCTGCATGCACTGCAGAGTGAAACCGATCAGGATCATGCCAGTTTCATTCTGCTGCTGGGGTACCCTTTGTTATACAGTTGGGATCTGCAGAGAGGGCTAGGTGGAAGAAAATGACAGGGAGGGTCAGAGACACACAGAAGCAAGTGGGAAGGTAATGTTGCTCAGGGCTGTTTCCAGAGACTAACTTTATCCTTGACGCAGCTCTCATGTAATATATAATATACCTTCTAGGGCAGATGTTGATAGATACATGCAGGCAGGGTATATTGGCTCCACATGAGTAGAACTACTACAAAGCAGTGTCTTACTGTAGCTTTCTCACATGCTATGGAGTGGACATTGACACACCAAGACGGCCACAGCCTGGATTGGGAGAACACAGTATCTAGTGCCTGGATCCCTTGGGGAGAAGACTATGCCCTGGTCTATGCTAGGAGTTGAGGTCAAATTTAGCAGCGTTAAATCGATTTAACCCTGCACCCGTCCACACGATGAAGGCCTTTTTTTCGACTTAAAGGGCTCTTAAAATTGATTTTCATACTCCACCCCCGACAAGGAGATTAGTGCTGAAATCGGCCTTGCTGGGTCGAATTTGGGGTATTGTGGATGCAATTAGATGGTATTGGCCTCCGGGAGCTATCCCAGAGTGCTCCATTGTGACCGCTCTGGACAGCACTCTCAACTCAGATGCACTGGCCAGGTAGACAAGAAAAGGCCCGCGAACTTTTGAATTTCAGTTTCCGTTTGGCCAGCGTAGCAAGCTGCAGGTGAGTGCAGAGCTCATCAGCAGAGGTGACCATGCAGAGTTAATCAGCAGAGGTGACCATGATGGAGTCCCAGAATCGCAAAAGAGCTCCAGGATGGACCGAATGGGAGGTACGGGATCTGATTGCTGTATGGGGAGAGGAATCCGTGCTATCAGAACTCCGTTCCAGTTTTTGAAATGCCAAAACATTTGTCAAAATCTCCCAGGGCATGAAGGACAGAGGACTTAACAGGGACTCGAAGCAATGCCGCGTGAAACTTAAGGAGCTGAGGCAAGCCTACCAGAAAACCAGAGAGGCAAATGGCCGCTCCGGGTCAGAGCCCAAAACATGCCGCTTCTATGATGAGCTGCATGCCATTTTAGGGTGTTCAGCCGCCACTACCCCAGCCGTGTTGTCTGACTCCTTCAGTGGAGATGGAGGCAACACGGAATCAGGTTTTGGGGACGAGGAAGATGATAGCTCACAGCAAGCAAGCGGAGAAACCGGTTTTCCCGACAGCCAGGAACTGTTTCTCACCCTGGACCTGGAGCCAGTACGCCCCGAACCCACCCAAGGCTGCCTCCCGGACCTGCCAGACGGAGAAGGGACCTCTGGTGAGTGTACCTTTTAAAATACTATACATGGTTTAAAAGCAAGCATGTTTAATGATTAATTTGCCCTGGCATTCGCGGCTCTCCTGGATGTACTCCCAAAGCCTTTGCAAAAGGTTTCTGGGGAGGGCAGCCTTATTCTGTCCACCATGGTAGGACACTTTACCACACCAGGCCAGTAGCATGTACTTGGGAATCATTGTAGAACAAACCATTGCAGTGTATGTTTGCTGGCATTCAAACAACATCCGTTCTTTATCTCTCTGTGTTATCCTCAGGAGAGTGATATCATTCATGGTCACCTGGTTGAAATAGGGTGCTTTTCTTAAGGGGACATTCAGAGGTGCCCGTTCCTGCTGGGCTGTTTGCCTGTGGCTGAACAGAAATGTTCCCTGCTGTTACCCATGGGGAGGGGTGATGGGCTAGCCACGTGGTTGGGGGAGGCAAAATGCGACCTTGGAACGAAAGCACATGTGCTATGTATGTAATGTTAACAGCAAGGTTTACCATGAAAGAGTGTACCCATTGTTCTATAAAATGTGTCTTTTTAAATACCACTTTGTTTCTCTCCACCAGCTGCATGTGTTTCAAGGATCACAGGATCTTCTCCTTCCCAGAGGCTAGTGAAGATTAGTAGGCGAAAAAAACGCACTCGTGATGAAATGTTCTCTGAGCTCATGCTGTCCTCCCACTCTGACAGAGCACAGACGAATGCATGGAGGAAGACAATGTCAGAGTGCAGGAAAGCACAAAATGACCGGGAGGAGAAGTGGCAGGCTGAGGAGAGTAAGTGGCAGATTGAAGAGAGGGCTGAAGCTGAAAAGTGGCGGCAGCATGATGAGAGGAGGCAGGATTCAATGCTGAGGCTGCTGGAGGATCAAACTAATACGCTCCAGTGTATGGTTGAGCTGCAGGAAAGGCAGCAGGAGCACGGACCGCCGCTACAGCCCCTGTGTAACCAAGAGCCAAGTTCCATAGCCTTCTCACCCAGATTCCCAAGAACGCGGTGGGGGGGCCTCCAGCCACCTAGTCACTCCACCCCAGAGGATTGCCCAAGCAACAGAAGGCTGGCATTCAATAAGTTTTAAACTTTTAAAGTGCAGTGTGGCCTTGTCCTTCCCTCCTCCACCACCCCTCCCGGTGCTTCCCTCATCCACCACCCCTCCCGGGCTACCTTGGCAGTTATCCCCCTATTTGTGTGATGAATTAATAAAGAATGCATGAATGTGAAGCAACAATGACTTTATTGCCTCTGCAAGCGGTGATCGAAGGGAGGAGGGGAGGGTGATTAGCTTACAGGGAAGTAGAGTGAACCAAGGGGCGGGGGGTTTCATCAAGGAGAAACAAACAGAACTTTCACACCGTAGCCTGGCCAGTCATGAAACTGGTTTTCAAAGCTTCTCTGATGTGCACCGCCCCCTCCTGTGCTCTTCTAACTGCCCTGGTGTCTGGCTGCGTGTAACCAGAGGCCAGGCAATTTGCCTCAACCTCCCACCCCGCCATAAATGTCTCCCCCTTACTCTCACAGATATTGTGGAGCACACAGCAAGCAGTAATAACAATGGGAATGTTGGTTTCGCAGAGGTCTAAGCGAGTCAGTAAACTGCGCCAGCGTGCTTTTAAACATCCAAATGCACATTCTACCACCATTCTGCACTTGCTCAGCCTGTAGTTGAACAGCTCCTGACTACTGTCCAGGATGCCTGTGTATGGCTTCATGAGCCATGGCATTAAGGGGTAGACTGGGTCCCTAATGAAAACTATAGGCATTTCAACATCCCCAATGGTTATTTTCTGGTCTGGGAATAAAGTCCCTTCCTGCAGCTTTTGAAACAGACCAGAACAGAGTTCCTGAAGATGCGAGCATCATGTACCTTTCCTGGCCATCCCACGTTGATGTTGGTGAAACATCCCTTGTGATCCACCAGTGCTTGCAGCACTATTGAAAAGTACCCTTTGCAGTTTATGTACTCGCCGGCTTTGTGCTCCGGTGCCAAGATAGGGATATGGGTTCCATCTATGGCCCCACCACAGTTAGGGAATCCCATTGCAACAAAGCCATCCACTATGACCTGAACATTTCCCAGGGTCACTACCCTTGATATCAGCAGATCTTTGATTGCGTTGGCTACTTGCATCACAGCAGCCCCAACAGTAGATTTGCCCACTCCAAATTGATTCCCAACTGATCAGTAGCTGTCTGGCGTTGCAAGCTTCCACAGGGCTATTGCCACTCGTTTCTCAACTGTGAGGGCTGCTCTCATCTCAGTATTCATGCACTTCAGGGCAGGGGAAAGCAAGTCACAAAGTTCCATGAAAGTGCCCTTATGCATGTGAAAGTTTTGCAGCCACTGGGAATCGTCCCAGACCCGCAACACTGTGCGGTCCCACCAGTCTGTGCTTGTTTCCCGGGCCCAGAATCTGCGTTCCATGGCATGAACCTGCCCCATTAGCACCATGATGCCCACATTGCCAGGGCCCGTGCTTTGAGAGAAGTCTGTGTCCATGTCCTCATCACTCTTGTCACCGCGCTGATGTCACCTACTCACCCGGTTTCGCTTTGCCAGGTTCTGGTTCTGCATATACTGCTGGATAATGCGTGTGGTGTTTAATGTGCTCCTAATTGCCAAAGTGATCTGAGTGGGCTCCATGCTTGCCATGGTATGGCGTCTGCACAGAAAAAAGGCATGTAACGATTGTCTGCCATTGCTCTGATGGAGGGAGGGGCGACTGACGACATGGCTTACAGGGTTGGCTTACAGGGAATTAAAATCAACAAAGGGGGTGACTTTACATCAAGGAGAAAGAAAAACAACTGTCACACAGAATGGCCCCCTCAAGGATTGAACTCAAAACCCTGGGCTTATCAGGCCAATGCTCACACCCACTAAGCTATCCCTCCCCCTTGTATTTCATGGAGGGAGGGAGGAGCAAATGTATACAAAACAAATCTGGTCTATTTCTTGTTTTGATCCACTCCATCTATCTTTTACATCTTTGGCTGGCAGCAGACAGTGCAGTAGGGCTGCAAGCCATGCACATCTCCTGGCTGCCCGGCAGAAGACGGTGCAATAGGACTGCTAGCCATCCACATCTCCTGCCTGCTCACCATAAGATGGTACAATAGGACTGCCTGCAGGATTAAAGAGAATGACCTGGTCAAGTCACTCCTAATTTAGTCCCTGCACCCATATCTGCCCAGGCGCTCCTGACCAACCTTACCGAGGCGGCCAGGAGCACCTCAGACATGATGAGGATGGCTTTCAGGCCTATAGTACCGTCTCCTGCCACAAGGCAATGGGTTGCTGCTGCTGTGTAGCAATGCAGTACCACTTCTGCCAGCACCCAGGAGACATACGGTGACAGTGAGCTGAGCGGGCTCCATGCTTGCCGTGGTATGGCGTCTGCACAGGTAACTCAGGAAAAAAGGCGCAAAACGATTGTCTGCCGTTGCTTTCACAGAGGGAGGGAGGGAGGGAATGGGGGCCTGACGATATGTACCCAGAACCCCCCGCGACAATGTTTTTTGCCCCATCAGGCATTGGGATCTCAACCCAGAATTCCAATGGGCAGCGGAGACTGCGGCAACTGTGGGATAGCTACCCACAGTGCAACACTCTGGAAGTCGACGCTAGCCTCGGTACTGTGGAAGCACTCCGCCGAGTTAATGCACTTAATGCACTTAGAGCATTTTGTGTGGGGGGACACACAATCGACTATATAAAAACGATTTCTAAAAAACCGACTTCTATAAATTCTACCTAATTTTGTAGTGTAGACATACCCTGAAACACTGCAGTGTTCACATGAAGTACAGGCCACTAGTGAGGTAATGGGATTGTGTGAAGTCCATAAACTGGGGCCGTTGTCAGGTATCTAATTCTATACAAGACATGCCTTCCAAGAAGAGGCCAGAAAGTCCTCAGGTACTCAGCAGAATATGAGGGGCTATTGTGGCCACTGCATGCGATCCAGACTCTAAATACATGGTCTTCCCCCTCCCACACCCAGTCTTCCTGATAGTAACAAATACGCATTCAGCAATGCTAATGAGCAGCAGTGGTGGATTAAGATATATTAGGGCCCTGGGCACAAAGAATGTTTGGGCTTCCCACACACACCCCTGCCATGGGGCCACGCCCCCTGCTCCTCCCCTTCATCCTCCCCCCCAAGGCCCCGCTCCCTGGCCTGGCCAGAAGCCGGGCCATGGTAAGAGCTCCCCAGGGAGAATCCACAGCAGGAGGGTCACTGTGGGGAGCCCTGGACCCTCCACCTGCCCTGGGTGGTACACTCTGGGGGACAGGGACATGGGCTGGGGGCTGCTCTCGGGGCCCCTGGCCTCCTGCCCAAGGCAAGTGCAGGGTCCGGGGCTCCCCACAGCTGCATGGGCTCCCTGGGCAGCTCTTACCACAGCCTAGAACAGTGGTCCCCAAACTGTGGAACATGCCCCAGGGCCTCCGCTCAGGCCCCACCCCGGCCCTGCCCCCAGATCCAGCTGTGGCTCTGTTCCCAGCTGCACCCCCACTCACAGCCCCCGACTGCAGGCCCCAGCCCCAATCCTGGCCCTGGCTGTGTGGGGGGAGGGCGTGGAGCAGGTAAGGGGGGCCTAACTGTAAAAAATTTGGAGACCCCAGGCCTACAGTGACTATACATCCCCTTTTGGCCCCAGATACCCTGACATTTTTGGCAAAATGGGGCATTTCTCCCATTTGCTTTTGTCAACTGATCACCAGCTGGCAAGAGCAAATGGTACAAATGCCCAGTTTTGCCACACAGGAGCTTGTGGGTGTGTGAGAGGTGGGGCTCGAGGCAGTGAGTGATGGGGTTTGGGAGGGGTCTGAGCAGTGGGGCTCAGGCCAACCCTGCATGGCGGAGGAAGGGAGGAGGGCCGGCTCTGCGTGGGGGGAAAGGGGCTTGGGTGAGCTCCATGCTGTGTGGGGGAAGGAGAAAGGGAGAAGAGGCTCATAGTAGCTCCACGCTGCACGGGGGGAGGCCCTTGGGGGCCTTGGTCCAGTGCCATGCGGTGGCCCTCAGTCCAGCGCTGCATGGGGCAGCGAGCGGGGACTTCAGTCAAGTGCCACGCTGCACCAGGTGGGGGAATCCTTGGTCTGCCTGGGGGGCTCCCAGGGCTCCTGGGGGGCTCCCAGGCCAGCTCAGCGTGGGGCTTCGGCTTGCAGCGCTCAGCCAGCTGTGCCTGGGGGTGGTGGGAATTGCTCACCACTCTTCCACAGGCTTCCCGCTGGGCTGGACTTTGGGCCTCAGGGGGAAGAGGAGGAGCGGGGAGGGGGAGAGAGGAGGAGCAGAGGGCGGGGCTACAGTTCCAGCTGCTGCAAATTGACCGGGATCCCTGGCCATGGGTAGAGGGATACACCCCCAGCCCTGCCCCTGTCCCTTCCATGCAGCTGTCTGCGTTTCCTGTCTGGGGGCATGCGCGCCGCTTGAACACACAAGCGTGACCAGGGACAGCTGCCCGCCCCAGTGGGTGGGGATGGGGGCAGTACAGTCGTGCTGGAGGAGCTGTCGGTGCGGGACGCTGGTTGCTGGGAATGGCGGCCACACGTTTTGCTCCGTTCGCTGCTGCGGTTCCTGGAAGAGCCCTGCAGTTCCACGGATACCAATTTATATCCATGGATATCCGCATCCATGGATATAGATTTTTGTCCATGCAGGGCTCTACTGACAGGCACTCTCCAAAGCACACTGTACAGTCTCAAGTTGAGAAAACAAAGTAACAACAATGGCAGAGCTAGACCATGTGCCACTGAATAACTTTGTAGTAAAAGACATTGTGCAGCAATACCCAGGGAATCCCTGTGTAATGATCTGCTACTAATGCCCTTCACATGGACAAAAAAGGATTATATGGCCTGATTCTCCACTGCCGTGTACCTCGTGTCATCATGTACATCTGTTTAGAGTGGGTGTAAAATGTTACCATTCTGACTTGGCTGGGTTTTACACTCAGCACAGGGTTAAGTGGTTACACAAGGTACAAAATCAGGTCCATAGTTTCCCTGGTAGACTGGGGGACATGGTACATTATTATTTAGCAAGCTATAAAAAGCGGAGGCAGAGGCAGTCTTGACACTATTGGACGCTATTAGAAATGGAGCCAGTGGTGACACTGAGCAGAGATGCTGTAGACCACAACCCAGAGTATGTGCAGCCTGGGAGTGTCTGCACAAAGATGTGTGCTTAGTAAATCCTAACCGTGTAGCCACATTTGGTGCAGCTGTAATTCATGGTAAACTGACAATAGGAGGGGGCTATAGAGTTTGTCACATTTCTAAATGCTTGTTTGTTACTGTTTAAGATAAATAGAATCTTAATATTATTAATTGAAGTCTGGAGATCCTGCACTGGCATCAGCATTCCCTCAGAGCTTGCTGATCCTGAGAACATTGAAAAGTATAAAGCAACTCATTTATATGGTTCCATGTTGTTGGTTTTGTACGTAATTGCTTGTACCTAGTACCATGTTTGCACCTCTGTACTTAACTATGAAGGTAGATTCCTCTTTTCAAAACTACACTTGATTGTTTATGTTACATACTGTTCTTTACAACATTTAAAGTTATGCAATAAAGTAAAATCATTGTTTCCCACGGGTTACATTATTCTTTTTATTGCAAAACTGCAATAGGTGTTTAGCAATGGGAAGTTTCTCCAGGGCCTCTAATCTGTTTCTATATTACACACAAAAAAATACATTAAAAGAACATTATTAAGATTGCAACGTAAAGCACTCAAAACGTAAGAAATGCCAGAATTAAGGTTGCCCGTGCAATTTTAATTCAGCCCCCTTGTGTGTATGAATTATGAGACCGTTTTAAATTATACTCTCATATACAATTTTTTTCCACAGGACTTCTACCTCATTCAGTGCACAGGATGGACGGTACTCACTTTTCCCAGTCTACTCCTTCCCTCACTGTGCTAGATCCAACTCTTATCCCCTCTGCTTTTGAATTAGACAGCTTCCTCCTCTTTGCTGGCTGAGTGTCAACAGGAGGGTCGTTGAGAGCACAGGAAAGACAGGCTCCTAGCTCTTAGTTCTGGTGCCTGGCCCCTTCCCAACCGGGAGCAGCCATTACAAAGAAAATCCATTTATGTCCTGTAGCCCTGGGCTGGAAGGCGCATGCTCAGTTGCTCTCTGGCAGTGGTTCCCAAATTGGAGTTCATGAACCCCTGGGGCTTTGTGACATGTTACAGGGGATTCTCAGGAAAAAATTCCCTAATGGCAGAGCTGTCCCTAGGGACCCCGGGCAGCCTGGAGCCAGCAGCCCGGAGCCCCTGGACTTCCAAGAGCTAAGCAGATCAAAGCAAGCATATCTATCACACTGAGGAGATTTAAATTTCAAGACTCCTTATAAGAAATGGAAAGGGAGGTGGGGATTGGTCCTGCTTTGAGCAGGGGGTTGGACTAGATGACCTCCTGAGGTCCCTTCCAACCCTGAGATTCTATGATTCTATGATATTTTTTGCTGTTTTTAAAATTAAATAGGCAGCTAGTTTTGTTTTTAAAATTATTCTGAAGAACAAGCTTAAGCTTTGTTGTAATGTGCATGGTTTGCCTGGACTGCTCAAGACCTGAATGCTTGTGTTGGAGGAACTCTTTGAGTTGGCTTCTTAAATACCTTCATGCTGGTTCACATCTGATGAAATATAGGAGTCTTGTCTTGTAACAGGCTTATTCAAAGTGATACAAGCTACAAAAGTGAGAGCTTGGAAGAGTGTTGCCATTTTCCTAATGTAATAAAAATACTGTAATGGTAAATAATAATTAATAATAAATAGTGTGTAATAAGCATGTCATAAAAACAAATTTTATATTTCCAAGATCACTGCTTTTATAATTTATACTCAGGTAAAGGAGAAAATCCCTGGAAATATTCATTTTTAGGAGGGGGTTCACGAGCCTTGACATTTTAGTGAAAGGGGTTCACAGGTTGTTAAAGTTTGGGAACCACTGCTCTATGGGGATGGCACATGTTCAGTCCCATCATGCAGGAGCTGTGAGGGAATGGTGCATGCTCAGAAAGGATGGAATCTCTGGAGATTTTAGCTGTTAAACTCTAGGATATTTCTACTGACCATATGTGAACTGCAATTTTTCAAAGGCTTTTAACTTGGTCAAATTTGGACAGATGTTCATGAGGACAACAGGCACATCTAGGGTTGCCAGCTTTCAAACTGCAGAAAACCAAACACACTTGCCCCACTCCCTGCCCTTCCCTGAGACCCCACCCCTTCCCTGAAGCCCTACTCCGTGCTCACTCCATTCCTCCCCCCTTCGTCACTCACTTTCCCACACCCTCACTCACTTGCTCATTTTCACCATGCTGGGTCAGGGGGTTGGGGTGCAGGAGGGGGTAAGAGCTCCAGCTGGGGGTGTGGGCTCTGAGGTGGGGCCGGGGATGAGGGGCTTGGGCTGCAGGAGAGGGCTCCAGGCAGGAGGGTGGGGCCAGGCTGAGAACCAGAGCAGCATGGCTGTTGGTTCCCCAGTAGAAGTTATAGGAGACCAGCTGAAGTATTGTAATGTAATCTACTGGAATTCTGATGAGGACTGGAATTGTGTGCCCTCCCATTAGCTCCAGTAGGGGGCAGAGGTCACACACTCCTTGTTCTGATCCTTTCCCTACTTCCCATCCCACATATACATTACACAGACTGAATTCATCCTTGAAGCTAAGTGGGGGATGGTAAATAGTTTCTTTTCTAGGAGGTACTCACAGTACAGTTGTATTACATGGATTCTTGTGTACATAGTGCCACTGGTCTTCCACAGCCTGATCCATGAGACTGATATAGTAGTTGTTCAGTGTACCCAGTGAGATGTTTCTTGCTCACTGTGAAATGAAATCCTGGATAACTGCCTGCCCCCAATCTCAATCAGATTTATTCACAGAAGAGACCTGAGAAGGCAAGAGTCTGAGTAGAGTGTGTATGTGAGGTGGGGGTCCTTGTGGGGGAGAGATGGGTCAAGAAAGCCCAATATTGAAGGAATGTGAAGAATTAATTCCCCTCTCTCACTGAAGAGAGCAGATATGTGGGGCAGGTGGATTCCCTCTGGGACTGGGCACTGAATTCCCGGGGATGCCTTCAATGCTGCAGCCTACCTGTTCCATCTTGGTATTGATCACTACTAGACGGGAGCCCATCCCTGTGCAGTTCTTCTTGCTGTTATCCCAGGTCTTAGTATCATTAGGGAAGTAGTAGTAGCTGGACTGCAAGCATTTCCAGCCTATCAGACAACGTGTCCAGACTCACCCTGTGGTGGTGGGAGGGGAAACCAGGGAGAACATGACTGTCTAATGAGTCTAGACAATCTTTCTTCTCTTTAATTTTGAAATAGCACCCAGCTCCTTACTGATGTTTTCCACAGGAATCATTTTGCCCACCATGAAAATACAACTGCCCCCAGGGTGAGATACAGCACCACATACTGAACCACCTGCAACTCTTCCTGCCCCACTTGGGTGTACTGGGATATCTCCCACCCAGTTACGACAAGGCCTGACCTGGTTAGCTTGTCAGACCAGACTTGGTCACCTTCCACCTAAGAACATTCCCTCCCAAAGTGATGTCTACCCCAGTTGGGATGAGTGTCTGCATTGGAACCCAGGCCCCAGAGCAATGGGAGTCATGGAGGTGGCACATGTACTATGTGGCTGACGTCTATTTTTCAGTAGGTCTGACCTATCCCATCTGGTCTCTTCCTTGAGATACTGGTGCAGGTTCTCAGGCTCTTCAGGGAGCTGAGCATAGCTTTGCTACATCTTATTATCCCAGTTCCAGGTAGCTGGAGAAACCAAGAGTGTATGAGCGGAGTCAAAGGAATGCAATCTGGGGAGAGAAAGATGTCTGAACTGTTGTATTGAAGCAGTCTATTTCAGTCTAGTACCATATCCCACTTCCCTAACACATCAGATCAGAACTTTGGTCTCTCTAGTCCAGTATCCGGCCTGTCATAGACGCCAACTCCGTGGGTGCTCTGGGGTTGGAGCACATATGGAAAAAAATAGTGGGTGCTCAGCACCACTGGCAGCCTCATGGATCAGCTCCATCTCCCCCTCCCCCCAGCGCCGCCCAGCTGCCAGTGGGCCCTGCTGATCAGCTTTTCCCCCTCCCTCCCAGCACCTCCTGCCTGCCGTGATCAGCTGTTCAGTGACGTGCAGGAGGCATGGGGTGGGGGGAAGAAGAGGAGGAGCAGGGGCAGGAAGAGGCAGTGGAGGGGGCAGAATGGGGTGGGAAGAGGTAGGGTGGGAGCGGAATGGCAGTCAAGCACCCCCTTGGGAACTCAGGAGGTTGGTGCCTCTGCAGCCCATGCAGTAATGTGCTGTGGAGTGCAATGGGCTCATCATTCACAATGATCCCTGAAGTCAGGGGCTCCACGTGATGTGACTGTACATGCAGGGGAGTTTTGGTTCATGGCGTAGAGGGTGGCAAGATAGAGTGGTAACATATGGCCAATCTGGTGAGGATCATACCTGAAGTGCGCAATCACTCAGCGAGCCTGCTGTCAATGGCACTGGCCAAGCTGGTCAATGGCTCCATCAGGATGCCTCAGTCTGTGGGGAGCTACAAAACATGGAACAAAATATGTTTGTTTATAAAACTCACCAGGATGCTAGTACAGACCCCAATATAAGATTTTGGTCATTTTCAGGGGCACCTGGCGCCAGGGCCACTGTAGACCAAATGGATTCCTAAGCTAGGAGCATCTTCAGCACCCCCTCTCCATTTGTTAAACTTGTGAATACCTTATTTTTTATTGCATTTGTAGCCCGTTTCATGACTTTGATGCATGATTTGCATGCATGATTTATCCCTGTCATATAAGATGATACATTTGCATGCTAGGATCTGTAAATCTATATTTATCCATGTCATATGTAAGCAAATAAAACAAATAATTTCCTCTAAGCTTATAGAAACTTTTTAATTTTAAGAGTAACTGAAATGTACTAACATCAAGAAATTGAACTGTGCACCAACATTGGGTGGATCAGTGTTAAATAGTGTTACAGTGGGTGACAGCCTTAGAATGTTAACTGCAGTCCTTTAGCTTTCACTTCCTATACGGAGCTCCTGAAAGCTTCTTTGGGGGGCATTTCTTATTTTCTACAGGGGAAAACAGACAGTATGAGGGAGAGCAAAAGTCTGTGTTCCATAGTCTTAGAAAGCATCAAACATTGCGTGTTAAGAATGGCAAAAGAAGTACTAGTATTTATTTTATATTGCTGCATAGATAGGGGTTTGATAGATATCTCTGGTGTCTCATTAAATATGTCTTTTATTAGTCACCACTTACACTCTTCAAGTCTTAAAACACTAGTACATGTTCATAATTACACAGTAAAATAAGATGCACAATATTGCAGCTGGGCTCTCCCTTCGTTCTTAGATCAAGAATTTTCTCTCTCAGAGGGGACCTATTAACAGTCTTCATATATGTTAAGGGCTGTTATAAAGAGGACAGAGATCAATTGTTCTCCATGTCCACTGAGGGCAGGACAAGAAGTAATGGGCTTAATCTGCAACAAGGGAGATTTAGGTTAGATATTAGGAAAACTTTCTAAGTATAAGGGTAGTTGTGCTATGGAACAGGCTTCCAATGGAGATTGTGGAATCCCTATCACTGAAGGTTTTCAAAAACAGGTTGGACAAACAGTCGTCCCCCTTCCCCCTGTAACTCTGCACTCCCTCCCTCTTGGCCTACCTGGTCTAGATTTATTTGGTCCTGATTCAGACTAGGGGGCTGGATTTGCTGACTTCCCAAGTTCCCTTCCAGTTCTATACTTTTATGATTCTGTGATCACTGCTCTTTACTGCACTAGCAACATTTAGCTTTAGCTTTAACGGGGGCAAGTGTTATCACTAGCTCTCTCTTTCCTTCACACAGACACACCTTGTATCAATCTATGTCACTGTGTGGAGAAATATGGTCTCCAATCCAGGCAATATTCACACAGAAGTCTTGTTATATTGAGTCAGATCTACCCAGCACCACTGGTCTTCCTCCTTCTGATCGGTCAGACTAACATAGTAATAATTCCTTTTAAATGCTGCATTAGTTCTCTGAGTATAGTTGAAAATGAAGTCCTGTATTTAAACAACAACAAAATCTCAACCAAATATAATGACTGACCAGACTGTAGGAGGCAGGAGTCTTTTGTAGGGTGAAACAGTAAGGATGAGTGGGTTGGGTGGAGGGTGTTGGGAAGGGAGATGATTTATAGAAGTCCAGTATTTAATTGACATGGATGCTGAATTCACCTCCTACCCCTAGGATCAAGAGTGGATGGGTCCTCCAGATCCGGACACTGAATTACCAGTGAAATCTGACCCGTGGTGAGTTATCTACTCAGCTTCTGTATAGATCACAACCAGATGGGAGCCCATCTCTGTGCAGTTCTTCTCACTGTCAGCCCAGGTCATTTTATCACTAGAGAAGTAGTAGCAGATGGTTTGAAAGGGCTTCCAGCCCATGGGCAGCATACCCAGCCTCGCTCTCTGAGGGACAGAGTAAAGTTGGGAGGAAATGAAAGCAGGGAAAACTCATTTATATAATGTTTCTCCCCGGGGAATTCTACATAAAAAAAAAAATCTGCACAAAAAGTTAAAAATTCTGCACACAATATTTTAAAATTCTGAAAAATTCTGCATATTTTATTTGTGAAAATAATTCAATATAATCACACTAGTTTCAATTATTTTGGTAATTTATTTCAAAATACCTGTCAGCAAGTATATCTGTAACAATACAAACAACAAAAAAGATTCAGGAAATGTTTTTTTGACAAATAGATTCCTTACTAGGCATATTAATACAGAACTCTGAGTAAAAATTAATCTAAACTACAATACAGAACCATATTTCCCACACCCCTCAGAAGCAGTGCAAAGGTTTGGGGGAGCCAGTGTAATGGAGGAGCTGAGGAAGAGGGAAATAATTGCTGGGAAGGAGCCTGGGTATGAACTGAAGTGTTGTTGGGTATGGATGGAAAAAGTATGGAACAGGTTTTTTGGGGGGGGCAGGGAGTGATTGTTAGGGAGCATCCCCCATGCAGACCCTGGCTGACCCCTAGCCTCTCTGATTCAGTCAGGCACATCTGCTCCTGTCCCCATGTGTGCCTACACCCCCATGTGTCCTTGCATCCCCTGTCCACATGTGTCCCTCCACTCCCACTCAGACACCCACTCCCCCATCCCCATGTGGCCCTGCACCCCCTTCTTGTGTCCCCCGTGTGTCTCTGTGCTCCCATTCAGCCATCCCCCTTCCCCCTATAGCTCTGCACCCCCCCCGCCCATGTGGCTCTGCGCCTCCACTCCCATTCAGCCCTTGCCCCAGTCTGTCCTCCCCCACTAGACCTTATGAGCCCCCAGAGGGGAAAGTAAGCTGGTAAGGTCCGGTATGGAGTACCAGTAAAAAAAGATGCAGTAGTGTACCGGCAAATAAGTGGAGTATTCAGTACTGGCTCACTTTCACCTCTTTTGGCTGCAGAACAAAAAGTTCAAACTCAAAGCTAATAAAAGCTTGGAAAGGGAAAACTCACTGTCACATTTGTTTGTTGTTTCTCTCCCTCTCCTCCTCCAGCCAGGCTGCCGAAGCGGCTAGGATCCCTGTTCCCCCAACCCTCCCACTCAGCAGGGGCTGCAGGGGCTCACCTCTAGCTTGTAGCAGGGAGCAGAGGGACTGGCTCAGGGAGAAGCTTCCCCAGGTAGCCTGCTGCCTCCATAAAAACAGTTTACATTTAGCTGTTCACTCCGCAGTCTGAACCGCGGGATTTGGGGCTATTTCTGGCATCCTTGTTAATTTCACTCAGGGTTCTTGCTGGGAGCGGGGGAGGGGGGGTTGTGTGAGACCAAGGCAGGGGCAGAATACAGTAGCCATTTGGTTGCACAGCTTAAATCCAGAGCTAATAAAAGCCAGTGGAAGGGGAAAACACATTGGTTTCTCTCCTGCCTCCTCCTCCAGCCAGGCTGCCAACAGGGCTAGGCTCAGTGCTTCCCCGAATCCCTGTACTCAGCAGGGGCTCCCCTCTAGCTTGGAGCAGGAAGCAGGGGGACTGGCTGAGGGAGAAGCCTCCCCAGCTAGCCTGCTGCCTGCATAAGAACAGTTTAAATTTGCGGCTCCCTCCCTGGTTCAGACTGGGATTTGGGGCTATTTCTGGCATCCTTGTTAATTTCATTCACAGTTGTTGGGGGATGGGGGTGTGTGGAAGGTGAGACCAAGGCAGGGGCAGAATACAATAGGCATTTTACTGCACAGCCCCAGAGCTAAGAAAAGCCAGTGGAAGGGGAAAACTCACCGTCACATTGGTTTCTCTCCTCTCTCCTCCTCCAGCCAGGCTGCCCAACGCCGCTAGCCTCCCCGTTCCCCCGACCTCCCCCACACCTCAGTAGGGGCTGCAGTGGCTCTCCTCTAGCTTGTAACAGGGAGCAGGGGGACTGGCTGAGGGAGACGCCTCCCCAGGATGCCTGCTGTCTGCATAAGAACAGTTTAAATTTAGCTGTTCACTCAGTGGTCTGAAAACTGGATATTCAGGGAAATTATTGTGCCTCCTTTGAAAGAAATAGTAGTTTTCATTCCACCCTCTTTATATATTGAATTAAACACTTGAAATGTCCTTAGAACATAGGTGCTCAGATCTTTTTTTGTTTTGTGGGTGTCGGTGTCCTGCAGAGTGCGGAGGCTGAAATTGATAAAACTTTCTCTAAGTATCTAAATGTGCTTCTGCTGGTATAGCTATTTTTGTACAGGAAGGGGAAGGGGAATAAGTGATACTGGTATAAGGCACCTTAATAACAGTATCATTGCAATAATTTCCCTGAATATCCAGTTTTCCCCTCTAGACCCTTTGTGGTTTTGTCTATGGGGCTATTTGCTTTCCCTGTGAATCTTTAGTTGTTTTACCAAAATTGCTTTGCCCAAAATAAACCCCGATCATCAGAACACATCTTCCCACCACGTTCTCCATGTTTGTTTTTTTTAAACAGTAACAATTCAAAGAGGATCTGCAAGCAGTTTGGACATTACAACCATGATCCTCTGCTGTGGAGGGAATGGGATAGATTTGAACTTGGAAATGGTTCCTGATTTTGATTGTATTTTTTGTGTATTATACTATTGAAGATCGCCTCATCCAGGAGGCAGAAAAGAACTGCCCAGGCTTTGGTACCCAACAACCATGAGTGAAATTAACAAGGAAGCCAGAAATAGCCCCTAATTCCATGGTTCAGAGGAAGAGTGAATAGCTAAATTTAAACTGTTCTTATGCAGACAGCAGGCATCCTGGGGAGGCATCTCCCTCAGCCAGTCCCCGTGCTCCCTGCTCCAAGCTAGAGGGGAGTCACGGCAGCCCCTGCTGAGTGCAGGGGTTCGGGGATGCACTGAGCCTAGCCCTGTTGGCAGCCTGGCTGGAGGAGGAGGGAGGAGAGAAACCAATGCGACAGTGAGTTTTTCCCTTCCACTGGCTTTTGTTAGCTCTGGATTTAAGCTGTGCAACCAAATGGCTATTGTATTCTGCCCCTGCCTTGGTCTCACCCCCCCCCCCCCGCTCCCAGCAAGAACCCTGAGTGAAATTAACAAGGATGCCAGAAATAGCCCCAAATCCCATGGTTCAGACCATGGAGCGAACAGCTAAGTTTAAACTGTTCTTATGCAGGCAGCAGGATACCTGGGGAGGCTTCTCCCTGAGCCAGTCCCTCTTCTCCCTGCTACAAGCTAGAGGGGAGCCCCTGCAGCCCCTGCTGAGTGTGGGGGTCGGGGGAATGCAAAGCCTAGCCGCGTCGGCAGCCTGGCTGGAGGAGGAGGAGGGAGGACAAGGAGAAAAATGTGACAGTGAGTTTTCAGGCTTATCCCAATGGTAAAGTTTTATTACAGACAGTATTGGTAGTAGTAATAGTAGCTTTATTTTCTATATCTAAGTCATGCAATGGGAGGGATCCATGAAGTATGTAGGAGAGGTGGGTTGCTTGTGTTTGGACTGTAGGGGTAAGAAATGTAACTTACTTCCACCGCTCCCCCCCCCCCCATTCCCGGAGGCGGGAGAGTGGGACCCGTACCGGTAAGAACTATATTTTACTTTCACCTCTGTGAGCTGCTGTCTGACCCCCCACCAGCTGCATGCTGTCTGTCTCCCCACAGCCCCTGTCTCCTGACCTGGCCCAACAGGTGCTGTAAAGAAGGCAGGCTCTTTCTCTTCCCTGTCATAGCTGGGGCTGGCCATGAGCGGCTGCTGTGTTCTATTGCACAGTGCCCTCTGGTGGGCAAAAGGCAGAACTGCAGGAACTTTTCAGCAGAAGCTATTTTCTGCAAAAAATTAAAAGTATGCATGGCCTATGAAATTTGCGTGCATGCAGTGGGACAGAATTCCCCCAGGAGTAACCTGTCTAGCCTCTTTCATCTTCAATGCTCCCAAAATCTTTGCAGGTTTCAGAGTGGTAGCCATGTTAGTCTGTATCAGCAAAAAGAACGAAGAGTACTTGTGGCACCTTAAAAAGAAAAGGAGTACTTGTGGCACCTTAAAAAGAAAAGGAGTACTTGTGGCACCTTGGAGACTAACCAATGTATTTGAGCATCAGCTTTCGTGAGCTACAGCTCACTTCATCGGATGCATGCTGTATGCAACAGTATGCATCCGATGAAGTGAGCTGTAGCTCATGAAAGCTGATGCTCAAATAAATTGGTTAGTCTCTAAGGTGCCACAAGTACTCTTTTTCTTTTTGCGAATACAGACTAACACGGCTGTTACTCTGAAATGTGGCACCTTAGAGACTAACAAATGTATTTGAGCATAAGGTTTCGTGGGCTAAAACCCACTTCATCGGATGTATGCAATGGAAAATGCAGTAGGAAGATATATATATATATACACAGAGAACATGAAAAAATGGGTATTGTCATACCCACTATAATGAGAGCGATCAGTTAAGGTGAGCTATTATCAGCCGGAGAAAAAAACAAAAACCTTTTGTAGTGATAATCAGGATGTCTCATTTCCAACAGTTGACAAGAAGGTGTGAGTAACAGTAGGGGAAAAATAAGCAAGGGGAAATTGTTTTACTTAGTGTAATGACCCATCCACTCCCAGTCTTTATTCAAGCCTAATTTAATGGTGTCCAGTTTGCAAATTAATTCCAATTCTTCTGCTGAATTATAAATTTGTTAGTCTCTAAGGTGCCACAAGTACTCCTCGTTCTTTTTAAAATCTTTACAGACTCTGTATGCAGAAACTGTGTCCCTTCTTCTTCTTTTTCCTTTATGCCACTTTTCCTGGTGAGGGTCATGGTGGCAGCACGGAGAGTAGGGAGGACTAGACCTCCCTTTCCTCCGCAACAGGTTCCAGTTCCTCCTTGGGGATTACCAAGTGTTCCCAGGCCAGCTGGGAGATATAATCCCTCCAGCGTGTCCTGGGTCGGCCTCAGGGCCTCAACCCAGTAGAGTTCCAAAGGAATAACAGAATTAGAGCTGGTGAAAAACATTCAGTTTTTCAAAATGTGGATGACATTTTTTTGTAAAAATGTTTCAATTTTTTTTTACTGGTTTTAACCATCTCATAAAGTGATTGATGCTGATTAAAAATTCAAAAGTTCATTGAAATTTTTGAGTGAAGATGTTTCTACATTTTTTTGACCAGATGTAAACAAAGCTGAAGCACTAACCAGAGGGAGAGAGGGAGATTGGATCCACCAGATCAGAACAGACTCTTATTCCAGCATATTCCCTGGTGTCTGAGTCCCTGGCTGTAGATAACAGATTTCTTGGTGTGTTTGGGGTGGTTACTGGATCTATGAAGGTAGGTGTAGTGATCTGTGGGTTTCTTGTATATTGCTGTCTGTTGGGTTCCATTGCTGAAGCTGATCATGGTGTCACCAATTCACCAATAGCTGATATATGGACTTTGAAGTTTCTGTATGTATCTGATTGCTTTACCATTTAACAACTCTCTTCTTGTTCTTTCATTTTCTTTGTAATAAACCTATAGTTTTAGACACTAAAACTGGCTGGAAGCATGGTATTTTGGGTAAGATCTAATCTAATATTGACCTGGCAATGTGGCTGGCCCTTTAGGGTTCAGAAGAACATTTTGTATAGTGAGCAGAGTTTTTTAAATAACTTCTCACTGTACTTCTCACTGGACCAAGGTGATGACTGGGAGCCAGAGAACTGGAATGCAGTAAGAGGGCTGTATGATTTCTTTATTTAACTTGTTGATAACTAGTGTGATGGAATACAAATAAAGTTTGTGACTGGTTGGTGAGTTTAACTTCAGTGTTAACCATCAGTTTTGGGAGTATCTTTTCTCCCTTTTACAGCCTGCCCTGACCTTGGCATTTTCAGTGAGGGCTACCCAGGCACCACGGGTCACACCACGGAAGGTAGTTTCCAGCCAGATTAGTTGCTGTTGGTTTTATTTCAAGCCTTCTTAACAAAAACAGGATCACAGCCTCAATCCTCCAAGTCTATACAGGTTACTGTGATATCCCCCAGGGTAGAATCTGGACAGTTGAACAGCTATGTCCTCTCAACCCTCCAACCTGGGGTGCCTTTCATGCTGCTTTGCTATGAGAACAACCACTCCTGGCCTGTTCACACACAGCCTTTGGTGTGCAAAATCACTCCCAGCTGAATTATATGAGTACTCTAGAAAGCCCCTCCTGAATTACACTGACAAGTGACCAGCAAGTTCCTGGTCTCCAGACTTATTCCCAAAAATGTGCATCTTTTACTGCCCAGTTCTTTCCTTCTGTGCAGTACAAGCTCATAGAAAATCCGTCATTTCATTAATAGAAAATGATATGCACAAATCTTCATTATCTCAAATGGAGGTTTCCAAACACTTCAATTCAAATACACAGTGGTTTAGATAAAACAATAAAACAAGTTTACTACCTAAAAAAAGATAGATTTAAGTGATTACAAATAATGAGGTATAAAAGTCAGAATTGGTTACAAAGAAATAAAAGGTAAAACACAAACTACTACCTAACTTAACAAGCTAAAATGAATGAAAAGCAAAGGTTTTTCTTACCAAATACTTTTACTGGCTGAACTCCTTCAGTCAGGACCTCTGCCCCAGTTCACTGATGCTTCCTTTGTCTTTCAAATGCTGTTGATGCTGTGAGTAGGGGAGAGAGGTGATTTGGGTCCTCTATTCCCCCTTCATAAAGCATTTCTCTTCTTTGAGAATCATCTCCAGCTGGGGTTCAGGTGACAGCAAGTCTGTTTTAGATGTGGACCCCCAGTTGGATCCCCAAATCTAAATTTCTCACTCACATCCTTCTTCCTGCCAAAGAATGTCTGCTCAACCCAGTAATTATCCACTTGATTATGTTGACATCTGGCTGAGGTGGTGGCTAACCCTTTGTCCCTGAGGAACTGGTTTGGGTTGCTTTTCTAAACTTGGAGCGTGTCTCAGCAATGTCATACAGTAAAATCTTATAATTTTACATACAATGTTTCTACACACATTTTACTAGGACAATAATGTTCAGTAGATTATGAAGTTTACATGTTGCCTCACAAGGCATACCTGGTACAAAATTTATCACAGTCTTGTAAAAGTGGTGAACATAAGGGCACAGTGTGTCACAGTTATGTTCCTTTTCCTAAGTCTGTCTCTCCTCCCCATGAGTTCATCAACCTGAAAGTTCCTGGCTCTTACCTCAGAGCCTTTGCAATAACAGGACTTTTCCCAGTCTCCCATCTGTTTCTTGGAGCTGCTCCTCCCAGCAGTTGCTCCAGCCTGTGGTAGGTGTTGCAGCCCCCATCCATTTCCTGCTCCTCCTTTTATGAGGATCAACCAGTTACGTTTGCAGGTCTTTTTCCACGTGACGTGGTTGAGGCTAATTAGCCATACAGCTGCAGGCCTCTGACCCCAGAGGAATGGTGCCCTTGTACCTTCACACCCAGCTATCTTAAATCTGACTATCTCAGGTATTAGAGCTGAGAACTCATGGTAGCATGTGGTCTGTGGTTAGTGTGGTCTATACAAATTCGCCTGGAACCCTGGTACAAACTCAGGTGGCTAGTCTGCACTGAAACCATACTGCTCTGGGACCCAAGCTAGCTAGATTAAAGTTAGCTCAGGTACGTCTACCTGAGCTGCTACTACACCATGTGGTCGCACTGTAGACATATCCTTTGTCCTCTGGCGTGGGGTTTACAGTTATTGAGTAAATATTGAAACCTCTCCTTAGACGAGCATCAGATGTTCCTCCTCTAAACCCATTAACAACAAATCCTAGGACTGTCACACATTCTGCCCAAAGAACTGGAGAAGGTGCTAAAAGAGACAAGCCTGCAGTGACTGCTGGGAAATGGATGAGACAGGAGTTAATGCTTTCTGTCTCTAGGATGAGGTCTATCCATCCCACTTTCTGCACCTTCCCCGACCAAGATATTTGCTTTTCCTATAGTAGTAAAATAATGTATTTAAAACTGATCACATGAATTGTTAATCACAACTGTTCCAGTCTGTGGCATTTACAGAGATTTGGGCTGCTCCTCTATTCACTGGCTGGACATGTTGCATAAATAATCATCATCAGGAATAACAATTATATAGTAACTAAAGTTGTATACTCCCTTGATCTCTGGGCAAACCTTCAACAGCCCTTGGGGGCCATGCCACAGTGCACTGTGGGGAGTATATAGTCCTGTGTTTATACCCTGGCCCACAAACCAAAACTAAAATAGAATTTGGTCTTTTCCTCCAAATGAAGCAGGAGCGCTGTGGGTAAGGACTGGGGTGCGCTGCCAGAGCTGCGTGTGGGAAGCTCTTGACTCACACAGCAGATTGTGCTGAAGGTCAGGAGTCAGGTGCATTATCAGAGCTGTGTGGAGATCCTGAAACAGCAATAAGGTGGCAGCTAACAATGCTGCCCCAATGAATCAGGAGGTCTTTTGTCTGTAAGATTTCATCCAAGCACACTGTGGTCCTGTCACTTTGCAGAAGGTTGGGGTTCAGGGCATAGGAATTAACCAGACTATCTTCTGTGTTTTGAAAATGACAGTAGACACACCCTGATGTGATCCGAGAGCTATCCTGCCCTGTGTAACTCAAGGACCCTGGGTAAAAGTTCATTCCAGCACCCTGGGATTCTCGCACTTTGTGGGAGGTCAGGGCTGGTTTCTCAGGAAATGGGCTTCCCAGAATGAACTGGATCAGAATCTGTTGTTTACATCTTGACTTTATTAAGATAAACACAATAGTAGACACAATCCTGAAATAAGCAGGGAATTCCTGGAGGGGAATCGTACGCAGAAAGAGTCAGAAGTAAGCAGTAGGAGATGGGACAGCACTAGGTGAAACACATACAAAGAGAACTTTATACAGAGCGTCCGACATTCTGCCTCAAAACCCAACAACAATGAGATCTAGACCTGTGGTCTCCTCAGAGGAAGTAGTGGAAGAGCCATTGCTCCTGCCATTCAAAACTAGGATTAGACAAAGATGTGGAGAATGCACGACCAGCAACAATCCAGCACTAGCTCCAGGGCAGTGGGAAAGAACTGGGCTTATAGATCCTTTCCATTTCTAGGAGATTTGGTCTAGGATCAGTCTCTTGATTGAAAACCTGTCCTTTCTCTGGGGCAGTGGTTCCCAGAGTTGTTCTGCCGCTTGTGCAGGGAAAGCCCCTGGCGGGCCGGGCCGGTTTGTTTACCTGTCGCGTCCGCAGGTTCGGCCGATCGCGGCTCCCAGTGGCCGCGGTTCACTGCTCCAGGCCAATGGGAGCTGCTGGAAGCGGTGGCCAGTACGTCCCTCGGTCTGGAGCAGTGAACTGCGGCCACTGGGAGACGCGATCGGCCGAACCTGCCAATGTGGCAGGTAAACAAACCGGCCCGGCCCGCCAGGGGCTTTCCCTGCATGAGCGGCGGAACAAGTTGTAGGAACCACTGCTCTGGGGTATAAATTGTTCTGCTCCATCACAAAAGAAGTTAAATCTGGAAGAGGGATAATGAACTGGTTGGCCTTCTAAACAGTCCCAGCTGGAAGCACAGACACATGTTTCCAGTGAGGTTGGAACAACAAAGAGCTCTGAGATTTGGACCTTTACTCCTGCATCTTTTTCCTGAAAGCTGAATCTCTTGTTAAACCCAGCAGCCACCAGAGCAACATGGACATGATGAAACACTCTCCCATTCACAGCACACACATTCTTGGGGACTGATGTGTTGGGCCCAAGGGAAGTTATTATATTTAGCAACACTTGGCTGAATTAATACAGTGAATAGCAACTCTCCCTTCAACACTTTAAGGCAAATCCTCTGGTTCTCCCGTTCTCAACCCACCTTCTCCACTGGACTGGTTGGGTGATGTCACAGGGAGTTTTATGACATCATAAACAGAGCTTGGCTGAAGTCTGGTGTTTTTCCACTTTAGTCATTTTCAGAAGTTTATATATTTTTTTCAAAATATTTTTTTTGTGGTGAGTTCATACCACTGAGCACGGTAACTTCCACCCCCACCTTCCTGCATATTATACAGCCCCGGACTCACAGTGATACAAACTCTCCAATCTGATCTCTCTGTGAGCTGCCCATGGTGAGGGATGGGCTCGCTCTCTGATTTCACATCCATGAGGGGTTTTTTCATCAAATACTTGTTGCCGCAGTTTCACAAATTCGATGAGATGGTATGATACAAGGGAAGTTATTCCAATTCATGTTCTCCTTTTGGGATGTATCTACAGCAACACATTTCTCCACACTGAGGTTGTTTGGTTCCCCAGGTATCCAGAACCTGTAAGACGGAGAAGTTGATGTGTCAGATGTCAGACATATCATTATGAGTGACCCAGGGGAAAGAGTTGTAACTGGTGAGGATGGAAGAGTGGTGGAAATGATAACCTATGAATCCTCCAGAGAGATTCCCCTTCCTTCCTAAAATGGATTTGTAGCTTCTCATAATGATGCCCTAAGAAACTTTCCCTTTGCTGGACCAGAAACATTTAGCTCCAGTAGGTGACAGAGATCTCTCTCTGAGACACACACATAACCACTATACTGTATGTGAATCTGCTGGACAGTCTTTATCCCAAAAGGTACTCACACTGCTGTCTTGTTATATGGAGTCAGATCCAGCCAGTGCCACTGGCCTTTCTTCTGTTGAGCCAGACCAATATAGTAATTCTCCACTTTGATTCCAATAACTGTTCTTTTTACATAATTGGAAATGAAATCCTGGATAAAAAAAATCAATTTAAATTTCACTAGATTCAGTTACTGAGCAGACAGTAGCAGCCAGGCAGGAATCTCTGGGGACTGTGAGTCTGGTGCTGGAGGTGTTGATGGCTAAGGAAGCCCATGACTGAGTGACCCTGGAGCCAGAACTACTCACTCAAACTCAAGAGCAGGTGTGTGTGTGTGTGTGTGAAGGTCTCCTCTAGGGCTGGGCACTGAATTCCCAATAGAGTCTGACCCCCAGCAAAGATACCTGCTCAGTTCCCGTGTTGATTACGACCAGGTGGGAGCCCATCCCTGTGCAGTTCCTCTCACTGTCATCCCAGTTCATGATGTCTTTAGAGAAGTAGTAGCAGCTGGCCTGAAAGGGCTCCCAGCCCAAGGGGCAGCATGTCCAGACTCGCCCTGTGAGGGAAGAGAAATCCAAGGAGAAGGAATCATAATAATTAGAGATGGAAAATTCCTACTAGCGACATCTTTGCCATTATCTATGGACAATGTTGAATTGTTCCCTCCAGTTTACTCTGAAGGGGTTGATGTATTGTTAGAAGACGTTAGCTAACATGGTCAGTAAGCCCAATGTGGACAAGGCAAGGTAGACTAACATGTTAGCTGACATGTTCTAACCACATACCTTTAAATTCTCAACTGGACAAAGCCAAAAATGACTCAGTTAATACAGTTTCCACCCCTTCGCTTGGGAAGACATCCATAGTCTAATGGATATGGGAATGTTAGTGTTAGAGAATATTTCCTCAACCTGAATTGCTCTTCTTTTTCTCCCATTATACCTCCTTTCTCTGACCATTCTCAATTAACCCCTCCCCATCCTACTTGTTTACACCCTGCCTGTGCTTGAAGAACATTGCTATTTCTCTCCTTAGCCCTCACTTAACCCCTCTGTACAGACTTCATTTTCTCCTCAGGGGTGAATCCCTGCAGCCCATTGTCACTGTTTTCTGTCAGTCCAGACCTCGGTGTGAATCAGGCCACTAGCCCAGAACACTGACATAGGGGTGATTTCCTTTCTCTTTCGGTGTCACTGACCTTTCCCTTCATCTCTCCCCACGACACAGTGCCACTCTGCAGAACCCTGGGGCAGGGCCTTGTGCATTTCACAGCTTGGATTTCCCATGAGGAAAGTGACTGGTAAAGGAGAGAAAAAAAGAGAATGGATACAATATTTCCCTCCTCTTGCTCCCACATACAACCTGATTTCTTCTCCATCTCCTGGCCAAGAACTGTCACAGTATGGTTGCTCCTACTTGGGTTTGCTTTATTTTCATACATACCCAAACAATCTCCCATAGGAGAGAATAGGGTAGCTCAGCTTCCTTCATCTGGGAGAGTGGGGGGGGGGGCGGCATTCCTTCAGTGGGAGAGCCGGAGGCTAGAATGCAACATTCTTTAAACTTAAAAGCCAAACCACCCCATTGATATAAACAAAACAACATCAAAAGGAACCAGCTGCAGGAGTAAAAAGAGAATGCAGGCAGAGGTCCAGCAACAGAGTGGGGGCTACTCAGTTTATTGCACCCAATGCTGCATGTATGATTACCTGCCCTATGGGCAGATGGCATATGTGAGCATTCGGTGCAAGGAGCTCCTGGACCTCAGAGACTGTGTACAGGTTTTGAAGGCCAGAGAGGCTGAACTGGAGGAGCTGAGGGAGACAGAGAGTACATAGATAAGACTTTCCAGGACACAATAGAATGGTTCCCCCCGCAGTCTGACAACCTCTGTGCTGTTGAGGAGGATGAAGGTCCCAGGGAAGGAGAGCATCTAATTGGAGAAGAGGGAAACAATCCCATAGTTGGGACCCTCCTTCCAGTTGATGTTGTGGTATCCTCTCCCACTGAGGATACCTCTCCGGGGGAGGGAACTCCAGCTATTAGAAAGAGGCAGGTATTAGTAATAGGCAAGTCAATCATTAGAAGCATAGATAGTTGGGTTTTCCATGACCGGGAGAACTGCATGGTGACTTTCTTGCCTGGTGTGAAGGTTGCGGATCTCTCGAGACATCTAGATAGACTTATGTGTAGTGCTGGGGAGGAGCCAGTGGTTGTGGTACATGTAGGTACCAGTGACATAGGGAAGAATAGGAGAGAGGTCCTGGAGTCCAAATTTTGGCTGCTAGGTAAGAGATTGAAGTCCAGGACCTCCATGGTACCATTCTCTGAGATGCTCCCAGTTCCACACGCAGGGCCAGTTAGACAGCAAGAACTGTAGAATCTCAATGCATGGATGAGATGATGGTGTAGGGAGGAGGGGTTTAGATTTATTAGGAACTGGGGAAACTTTTGGGAAAGGGGGAGCCTATACAGGAAGGATGCACTCCACTTAAAACAAAATGGAACCAGATTGCTGGCACTTAACATTTAAAAGGTCGTAGAGCAGTTTTTAAACTAAGGGCTGGGGGAAAGCCGACTGGTGTGGAGGAGCATGTGGTTCAGACATCCCTTGGGAAGGACCTATTAATAGAGAATCTCTATGTCCTAGTGAGGACGAGAGGATGGAAAATGATAAAATACAGGCAGGGTCTGATCAGAAACAGTCAAATGAAAAAAAGTCGTATTCAGTTACATCATGTAATGGCAGACAGCTAAAAGGAGACAAGTTTTTAAAGTGCTTGTATACCAATGCTAGAAGTCTAAATAATAAAATGGGTGAACTAGAGTGCCTCATATTAAATGAGCATATTGTTATAATAGGCATCACAGAAACTTGGTGGAATGAGGATAATCAATGGGATACAGTAATACCAGGGTACAAAATATATTGGAAAGACAGAATAGGTCATGCTGGTGGGGGATTGGCATATGTGAAAGAAAGCGTAGAATCAAATGAAGTAAAAATTGTAAATGAATCAAACTGTACCATAGAATCTCTATGGATAGAAATTCCCTGCTCTAATAATAAGAATATAGCAGTAGGGATATATCACCACCTGACCAGGGTGGTGATAGTGACTGTGAATGGGAGATTAGAGCGGCTATTAAAATAAAAAACTCAATAATAGTAATAATAATAATAATAATAGGGGATTTCAATTATCACCATGTTGACTGGGTACATGTCACCTCAGGACGGGATGCAGAGATAAAGTTTCTTGACACCTTAAATGGCTGCTTCTTGGAGCAGCTGGTCCTGGAATCCACCAGAGAAGAGGCAATTCTTGATTTAGTCCTAAGTGGAGCACAGGATCTGATCCAAGAGGTGAATATAGCTGGACCACTAGGTAATAGTGACCATAATATAATTAAATTTAATATCTCTGTGACAGGAAAAACACCACAGCGGCCCAACACTGTAGCATTTAATTTCAGAAAGGGGAACTACACAAAAATGAGGAGGTTAGTTAAACAGAAATTAAAGGGTGCAGTGCCAAAAGTGAAATCTCTGCAAGCTGCCTGGAAACTTTTTAAAGACACCATAATAGAGGCTCAATTTAAATGTATACCCCAAATTAAAAAACATAGTAAGAGATCCAAAAAAGAGCCACTCTGTCTAAACAACAAAGTAAAAGAAGCAGTGAGAGGCAAAAAGGCATCCTTTAAAAATTGGAAGCTAAATCCTCGTGAGGAAAATAGAAAGGAGCATAAACAGTGGAAAATGAAGTGTAAAAATACAATTAGGAAGGTCAGAAAAGAATTTGAGGAACAGTTAGCCAAAGACTCAAAAAATAATAGCAATTTTTTAAAAAAGTACATCAGAAGCAGGAAGCCTGTTAAACAACGAGTGGGGCCACTGGACGATCGAGCACTCAAGGAGCACTCAAGGACGATAAGGCCATTGCGGAGAAACTAAATGAATTCTTTGTATCAGTCTTTATGACTGAGGATGTGAGGGAGATTTCCAAACCTGAGCCATTCTTTTTAGGTGACAGATCTGAGGAATTGTCCCAGATTGAGGTATCATTAGAGGAGGTTTTGGAACAAATTGATAAATTAAACAGCAATAAGTCACCAGGACCAGATGATATTCACCCAAGAAGTTCTGAAGAACCTCTAATGTGGAATTGCAGAACTACTAACTGTAGTCTGTAACCTATCATTTAAATCAGCTTCCGTACCAGATGACAGGAGGATAGCTAATGTGATGCCAATTTTTAAAAAGAGCTCCAGAGGTGATCCCGGCAATTACAGGCCTGTAAAGCTGACTTCAGTACCAGGCAAACTGGTTGAAATGATAATAAAAAACAATATTGTCAGACATATAGATGAACATAATTTGTTGAGGAAGAGTCAACATGGTTTTAGTAAAGGGAAATCATGCCTCACCAATCTATTAGAATTCTTTGAGGGGGTAAACAAGCAAGTGGACCAAGGGAATCCAGTGGATATAGTGTACTTAGATTTTCAGAAAGCCTTTGACAAGGTCCCTCACCAAAGGCTCTTAAACAATGTAAGCTGACATGGGATAAGAGGGAAGGTGCTCTCATGGATTGGTAACTGGTTAAAAGATAGGAAACAAAGAGTAGGTATAAATGGTCAGTTTTCAGAATGGAAAGAGGTAAATAGTGGTGTCCCCCAGGGGTCTGTTCTGGGACCAGTCCTATTCAACATATTCATAAATGATCTGGAAAAAGGGGTAAATAGTGAGGTGGCAAAATTTGCAGATGATACAAAATTACTAAAGATAGTTAAGACCCAGGCAGACTGCGAAGAGCTACAAAAGGATCTTTCAAAACTGGGTGACTGGGCAACAAAATGGCAGATGAAATTTAATGTTGATAAATGCAAAGTAATGCACATTGGAAAGCATAATCCCAACTATACATATACAATGACGGGGTCTAAATTAGCTGTTACCACTCAAGAAAGAGATCTAGGAGTCATGGATAGTTCTCTGAAAACATGCACTCAATGTGCAGTGGCAGTCAAAAAAGTGAACAGAATGCTGGGAATAATTAAGAAGGGGATGGATAATAGGACAGAAAATATCATGTTGCCTCTATATAAATCCATGGTATGCCCACATCTTGAACACTGTGTGCAGATGTGGTCGCTCCATCTAAAAAAAAGATATGTTGGAATTGGAAAAGGTTCAGAAAAGGGCAACAAAAATGGTTAGAGGTATGGAACAGCTTCCGTACGAGGAGAGATTAATAAGACTGGGACTTTTCATCTTGGAAAAGAGACAGCTAAGGAGAGATATGATTGAGGTCTATAAAATCATGATTGGTGTAGAGAAAGTAGATAAGGAAGTGTTGTTTACTCCTTCTCATAACACAAGAACTAGGGGTCACCAAATGAAATTAATAGGCAGCAGGTTTAAAACAAATAAAAGAAAGTATTTCTTCACATGACGCACAGTCAACCTGTGTCAGAGGATGTTGTGAAGGCCAAGACCATAACAGGGTTCAAAAAGAACTAAATACATTCATGGAGGATAGGTCCATCAATGGCTATTAGCCAGGGTGGGTAGGAATGGTGTCCCTAACCTCTGTTTGCCAGAAGCTGGGAATGAGTGACAGGAGATGGATCACTTGATGATCACCTGATCTGTTCATTCCCTCTGGGGCACCTGGCACTGACCGCTGTCGGAAGACAGGATACTGGGCTAGATGGACCTTTAGTCTGACCCAACAGGGCGATTCTTATGCTCTTATGTTCTCTGCTGTCAGTGGTAAACAGTTCTACTGACTGACTGGTGCAAGACAATCTTGGTCAACAAGGCAAACAAGAGCAGTGTCTGACCCACATGGGGCGGGTTGACGTGGGTGTGGCCAGGAAACAGCTCATTAACATCGTCATGCCTTGCTGAGCAGTAGCAGGTGTTGGGGCCTTCAGTGTTGTTGAATCTGGGTATTTTCTTAGCCTATTTACATGTGTACACTACTTCAGGAAATCACCTCTTCCAGAGCTCCCAGGGCAAACACCAACATCATGTCCCAGGAAGCAGCTCTGCCCCAGGAATTGAGTCTAGGTGCACAGATTAAGGAAGAGAGAAAACTCTTGCTGTTTGCCACGGTGCCCCCAAAAGAACCTGCATCCCAGAACTAACCTTGGTGCAGATCCCATCAGTCCCACAAGCACGGGAAGGCAGAGCATACTGGAGGTGAACCACTGGCTATGAGACCGGTGTGAAGCTGAAACTTTGGGTGTTGTGAAACATTGGACACATTCCAAGGAGAGAAGGGGCTG